GAAAGGAAAAGTCTAAAGAGGACAATATCTGCTAGCGGTAGACTTGGACGGTTACAAAAACTTCAAATCCAGATAGTTCCAACACAACTATTTAAAAGAAATGAGAATAGAAAGAGAGAGAAGCAAAATTTTGTGTAGTGCATAATGACTATATCAGCAAGTGAGAATGAAATGAAGCAAAATTTTAAATCTTAGATTGTAGAAAGAAATCAAAATGAACTCAATACTTACAGGGGAAATACAATCTCCACACCTACACCAGCAATAATTCTTCGAATTCTAATCGTTGTGTGGATGCCAGCATTTTGTTTTGATATCACAATTCCTCTATAAACAGAAAGCCTACGCCTATTTTCTGGAACTTCCTGTGGTGGAAATAACATTTTTATTCAAAAGAAAGTTAAGATAAACCTTGCATCTTCACAAGAGTTTAAATTATAAAGATTAACAATGAGATTTACCAGTTTAATTTCCACAATATCACCAGTTCTAACGTCTGGAATGGGCCTTTCCTTCTCTGATGCCTCAACTGCCCGCTTATTAAGTATCTACAGAAGAGAAACAATGAACAAAACTAAAACCAAATTCAAACTATCCCATCACATGTTCGACTGTCACCTGCAATCTAAAATTTCACCATTGATAGCTGAAATCTTATACTAAACTGAACTGTAATGACTTCTAAAAAGCACAGAATTCAAGAGAACCAGTAACAAAACTACACTTCCAGTTGCAAGAATGGATAGAACAATTACCCCCATTACATCCCCAAGCTTAACTCGAGGTTTTCTCGGCGGTTTCACCTCCTCAGGCTGAGCATCAGATTCCACTACTCCTTCTACTTCAGCCTCGGGAGCTTCTTCCGCCGCTTCCGCTTCAGAATTTACCTCAGCTCTCACAACAAAAGTCCGTTTCACCGGCCCCGCAACGGCATGGTGAAAATGGCAGCCGATTGAACTCGAGGAAAGAGTAGAAAACGAAAGCCGGTTACCATAAATTGCGGAACGAAACCCTAATTTCCTCGGCGCGCATTGGTTGGGGGTTCTCGGAATGGAAAACACGGCCTAGAAACAAGAAGAAAATTGAGAAGGAAAATGAAGTAGAGAAGGGGAGTATTGAGAGAAAGGAAAAGGCGAAAGGAGGAAGTGTACCTGAGGGAGAATCTTGGAGGCCATTGATGAAGGAGTTGGAACTTCTGAAGCGGAGAAATGAAACAGAATTAGAGATGAAGGGAGAGAATCATGGCAGTAAGTGTGTGTTCTGGTGTGTTCTTCATCCAAGAAGAATTTGAAGCTGATCCCTTATCCACTGTGATACCACCATCACCATCTCTTGGGTTGAAATGATGCGGGTCGGTACTGGGTCGGGTCAGACCGGGTTGTCCATCTTAAAATGTTTTTGACCCTGCTATAATAGTTGTGACCGATATCTACAATAGCCAAATTGCTTCCTATTTTCTCTAGTACTTTATTAACACTATTTAGTGGTTTAGGTTGGACCTAGTAGTATCCCTACCGAGTAATAGGTAATCAAGAATCTATACGTTAAATTTAATCTAGATCGATCAAATAGGATAGCTCGTCAGGTGCCTCTTTTGTGCCTGAAAATGTGTCATTGGTCTCTCCTTAACAAGGTTGCGGCTCTGTAAATCTATCTTGAGAGGGAATGAGAGACCACACAAGTAAACTTAGTAGTTGGTCGACACATAAGGTCGCTCCTCTAAACTATTTAGCTTTATGGTTTTTGTGGAAGGGTCGCCAATTAACCTTACTCAAGGATGTTCAGATGGATGATGTCATATTGTTCTATAATATGATTAAGATGAGGTAGTACCTACAAATCTAGATAACGATGATTTATTTATGTGGCAAAGAAAGATAGTTAAAGTTTGAGGAATAGGAAAGTTGGTTCACCCTAGAGATTAGTTACGTCGTCGTCGTCGTCTAGTAGATTTATAGTGCCAGAAAATGTGAACAATCTCAAAACCCCAATTGAACACGGGTGAAATAAGCGATTGACTATGTCTTGACTCTATCGACCTGAACTAATAAAAAAAGGGTAAAAAAAAGTAAATGTGTATACGTGGAAGTGTACAAGAATGGTAGCATGGAAAATTCAATGCACTCGTAAGTAACATTTACCCTCAAAGCGTCTCTCTTCTTGCCCTTTATATGTAATCATCTTCTCCCACCTTCTTCCTCGCTTCAATCTCTCTTTCTCTTCTTTCTTGGAGCAATGGCGACCGCACGTGCCATGCTCGTGCTCGCCCTCTCTTTTTTTGCCCTTTCCTCCTCCGCCATTGCTCAAGGTCCCTCCCCTGCTCCTCTTCCGCTGCCGCCCCGCCGCGTCCATCAACCCCACCTCCGGTTGCATCACCCGCCATGTCCCCACCGGCTGCCTCACCTCCACCAATCAACTCATCTCCCCCGATGGCGGCTTCTCCGCCGTGCATGGATATGAGCTCAGTCTCAGTCCCAATGCCCGACAGCCCACCATCACTTCCAAGCCCAAGCGCGGGATTTTCCATACACCACAGCGGCTCAAGGCGGGCCTTGCGGCGGTGTTGGGTGGCATGGCCGTCGTCCTTACCCATTTATGCATTCTTTTTTCTTTTCTTTACTTTCATTAGCACCATGAGTGATTTGTAGGATATGTAACAATTTATTTGTTACCCATTTGGGTTTTTTTGTATTTAATAAAAAGATGTGTCAAATCCAACTCGAAGAAATGGTTCAAGTAGTCATGTATCGACATTTTCATCCAATACAAAGATAGATATGGAAAGTTCAACTTTACAAAAGTATAAATGTTTCGATCACTCAAACCCTCTTTATTCTTGATAAAATTATTCTTGATAAAATGAATAAATGAAAAGAGGGTTGGTTGGAAGTGTTAAGAGGGTAGATGGAGAAGGGAGTAATGAGGGAATGGGTGGTGCCTTTGTTGTGGGTAAGTAATATTGGAACCCAAATTCCCTTAGGTCAGAGGAATTTTTTCCGCTCAAATCTCTTTCAAGAAGAAACTCATTATTTATTTACGAGTGATCGAGTTGGTTTGTGTCATTTTGACTATGTTCATAAGACAATTACCTTATTTTATTATATCATAGATCTGTGATTATCACGAGTAAAACTCATTTTTGCTAAATTCATTATTATTTACATGATTCTGATTGATCGCCTAATGGAGCAATTTGGTGAGAAAATGATATAACATGGGGCATAACATGGGGCATTTAATTACCAAGCAAACACCAACTTCTACTATTTACTTTAGGTTCTCTCTTTCTATTAGAGGTCTTTCTAATAGAGGCATTTGTCCGTCCCTTCAAATTGGATTGGATAACTTCATTTTAGAACACTCCTATTTTCTACCAACTCAACCCATAAAATTTACATGTATTTGAACCTAACTCAAACGGTACAAATTAGATAGGTTGATTGAATTTTTCAGGTCGAGTATTTCGAACACTCCTATTTTCTATAACAAAAATAATATACATCCATTCCCTTGATACTTACCTATAATATCATATAGCAATTTTTGAAATAGAAATCATACATATATCATATAGTACTTTATACTTTTAAACTCAATTTCTATTAAATAAATAAAAATAATTTCTATTAAATAAAAATTATTTTTAAGTACGACCATTCTAAAATTACTCTCAAACTACCTAACCTATTCTCATTTCAAAAGGAGTAAGAAAATATAAATGTCAAAATGGTAATTAATTGGAGCATATATATATATGTGTGTGTGTGTATATGAATGTATATATATATGTGTGCATATATATATATAAGTGTGTGTGTGTGTGTGTATATACGTGTGTATATATATATGTGGGATAAAGAACAGTAAAATGAATAGAAAGGGCTTATCTACAACTACAACTGCTGCACGACAACCTACCCGTGAATGCCTTTATGTGGGGGTAATTAATCCACCTAAACTACACAAAAAGCTTGAAATCTATCAGAAGATTGAATTTAATACCTGGGTTGCCCTGGAGATGGAAGACACCCAGTTTTAAGAACAAACAATCCAATCTAGTCCAGTAAAAGAAAGATCAAGGATCCAAGGAAGAAGACATGAGAGTTCAAGTGAGATTCTACATCCACAATGCAACCACAACCAATTTCCTTGATCAAAGAACAGAGGTCAAGAATATACACTTGTTGAAATCACTCCTCTCTCTCTCATTCAACACATACTAACATCAGTTTCATAGCTGTACAAGTATCGAGTATACTACGGTTTTAATGGTTAGTCACACGAGGATAACAAATCGACAATGAGATGTTCATTTTAACATAAGTAATCATAGCAAAAAATCATACCTACCACACACAGAAGAAAGCATTAGAGAGAGAGTGTCGAAAGACTTGTAATGGAACACAATAGCACAATTAGCATTTTTAAGCACTCGAACAGTCTTTTTCTTGCTAGGTTGGGGACAGCTAGTTTGGGAACAGTGAGATTAGCTATGGCGGTAGGTGAATCAGTCGCGATAGGGGGAATTTCTCTCTCATTGATGTGGCAAAGACTTTTTGTCAAGACGATAAAAGAAATAAAGGGAGAACCAAAATGCATCTTTAATAGCTTTTTCTCTTTCTTGCTTCTCGTTTCATAGAACGCGTAGTTCCTTGTATTATCGGATTTTATACCTAGGGTTGAGGAGTCCAGCAATGAGACCGGGAGCGAGAGGAGCCCAGCAACGAGACCATAAACATAGTATAGTGAAAGAAAGAAAGAAGGAAGAAGACGCTTGACCTTGGTTACTGTTCGGGAAAGAACAAAGAAGAGAACGACAATGAATAAATGGGTCAGCCAGCAGTTCCAGAAGGAAAAGGAGAATGCATCGAGAGTAGAGTCTTTACAGTAGCCTATCACTTAAAAGAAAGGTCACTAATGGAGACTATTTTAAAGTGACATCTTACGCCTGCATACTTATTGAGCATAGGCTTTATTGTCCTCTTGTTCAGTATACCATTCATCAAGATCACATGCTTTGCTTCAAGTATCTGACCATTCCAGTAAGATCTCTGAAGAAACAGCTCTGTCTATATTTGTTGTCCTACACAGAAGATAGATTCATAGAACATAAACAATCCTGAAAGTAACAAACACTGCTAATGACTTTGATGCTTCATATTGAACACCTAAATTCATGGTTTTTCAACGGTTCATGAACATATCCATGTAAACTTACTATGGCATTCCCACTTATTTTCCTTGTAATAGAACCACCACTCAAGTCAGAGAAGAAAACGAATGTGCTCTTCGAGTGTCCTCTTAGTTCTTACTATGCCACATAAAGACTTATCTAAATCCTAAGAACATGTCATAAAAGGGTGACTTTACTTGCTGGCATGCTAGCTAAGGAGGAAAACAATTCTAAAATAGAATGATGGGTTACTATCATACGACAACGCACACACTCGATCTAGATAAACAGGACAAAGAAAATGTAAGGAGAAATATTGGTTAAAGGTTTATGACTCCAATGAATGCAAAGAACAAGAGGAGAAAATGCAAGTAGGAAAATTGACATGAATATAACCCTCTACTATATATATCCCATTTTTTTTTCCTATAAAGAGTCATTTACTATATAGGACCATTTTCCATATATAGTTTTAGTAGGTATAACAATTGAATAAGCTATAGATAAGCAGACTCCATACCCAATATGATGCTACTAAAGTAGTGTCTGTCTACTCGAGTTCTAATACCCTTTAAGCATTTTTAATTAGCTAAGTCTTGAACAGTTGTTCCTACCCAATATGATGCTATCTAAAGTAGTGCCTGTCTACTCGAGTTTTAATACCCTTCAGACATCTTTAATTAGCTAAGTCTCGAACTGTTGTTCCTACCGAATATGATGCTATCTAAAGTAGTGCCTGTCTACTCGAGTTCTAAGACCCTTAAGCATTTTTAATTAGCTAAGACTCAAACTGCGGTTCCTAGATGAACACAGGAGGTTTAGATTTTTACATTCACTAATTTGATAACGAAAAGTGAGACCAGTACAAGGCTTCTTAATTATACTATCACTAAGGTCACAAGTATTAGAATATATAGAATCTACACAAACAGAACATGCACGCATCTACCATCTTGATGGAGTAAAACATTATGAATATTTGAATAAACTCAACAAGCGGATCATTGACTGCATTGAGCAAGCTCAGAAACCCCAACAAATAAATGGCAAAAGCTAAACAGTTTACAGTCCCGATAATCACATTACCCTTATCATTTAGCTTTAAATTATACAATGAAATTCTACTTGAACAACAGAAGAATAGTAACTGTTAACCAGGGAATACTCAATTCATGTATCCTTTTACTTGCATCATACAATATCCGAACATTTAAGAGATACCAAGTTAATGACATGATATTAGAGAGCAATGCATTCAAAGTTTATATACACACACTATCATTCGAAAATTTATTAGCTACATAGAGACAACATGCTCAATTGATTCCAACTCCAAACTTCATAAGTACTACGCTAGGACGGTGAGAAATCTTTAATTTATGCTAATAAATCCTTATTCTAAAGTCCTTCGGCGGTTTTCCATAAGCCATCACAGCAACTTCCCCATCAATCCCCCTTCCTTCTGTTCAACAACCAATCATTTCCAATATCAAAAACAACAAGCCGCATAAACGGAGACAAGGACGACAATAAGGCCATTGATTTTAAGCACTCTGATTGCTCGTGTTAATCGATAATCCATTGCTATCCCTAACGATATATTACAGGACGGGCAGCAATAACTTTGGGGGAAATATTATATTTCTTAATTCCTCGCCGTCTTTAATATCAAATAGTCGATCTCGATCTACGAGCATCTTTCACTCTAGTAATTTCAGTACCTGGATCGGAGAAGAACCAGAGAACGACGGCGCAGAAGACGACGACGACGGGAATGAAGTGGATGAAGATCTTGGCAAGCTTAAGACGGCGACGTTCTTTTTCGGCCGCGTGAGAGAACGGATTATACGTCGGTAGGTAAAGCTCTGAGTCCAAGCCGGAACTCACACTCGAAGATCTAAAGACTGCGGATTGCAACGACGACAACGACGACGGCGAACTCAACAACACCTTATCGGAGACTCTGGAAGCGCTCACGGATCTCTTCATCCTCTTCGTTTTCCAATTGCCGGAAAAATCAAGGCGAAGGGAAGACAGAAACCTCAAAGGTTTGAGCTACGAGAGAGAATGCGAACCGATGACCGAATCCCGAGTCGCAGGCCACGAGAATATGCTTTGCGTTTAAACTTCAATTAAACAGGTCGTTAAATTTTATTAATTTTAAAATTTATATTTTTATATATATATATATTTTTTTTTTACCATACAATTATATTTATATATTTATTTACTTATTTTTATATAATTTCATAATTTTTTTTATTTATTTTCTAACCACTCATTAAAATAAATTTTAACAAGATATATATTGAAATTGATGTTTAAATTTAATTAAATATCTGAAATTAAATAAATAATTATTTAACGAATTAAACTTTTATTTTATTAAAAATAAAAATTTAAATAATCCAATTTAAAAATATAGATTTATATTAGATTAATTATTTAATAAATATTATTTTAATTGAAAAGCTTAGAACAAATGAATTAAATTAAAAATGCATAATTTTAAAGATGACAAAAAGTGATTTTAACCTAATTTAGAAATCAAACTTTTTTACTTATAATAAATAAAGTTTAAAAACGGATAAAATTATTAAATTTTCAAGCACACGTGTTTTGATTAATTATTTGAGTTATTATTAAATAAAAATGTTGAATTTCCCATTTCTCCTCTCTCTCACACTTTAAACTCGATATTTTTACTTTTAATTTCACTTAAAATATCTTAAGCTAGTGAACTATTTAAGCTGTTGAGTCGAGCTTAAACATCTCTTGAAGCTATCATTCTTAGACGGATGAACAAATTAAAAAGTTTAATAGCATGCTTGAGGAGTTCTTATGTCATTTCATCAATACTCGACAAGGAAGGCCCCCTTCGAGATAGAATGTGGTAGACAATCACTCTTGTTCCATGTCATTGACCACTCCTATGTCGGGAAAAACCCACAAGCTTATAACTTCACCAAGGAGTTGAAGCAAACCTCCAAAGTGGCACGTGCATACTTAGAGAAAGTTTCGTGACGAATGAAGAAGTTGGCAGACCTGAAACGCAAACCATTAGAATTTCAAACTGATGACCAAGTTCTAATCAAGCTAAGATTAGAGTAATTTCGATTACGAGGGAATAGGAATCAAAGACTAGTGTGGAAGTATGAAGGGCCAGTCATCGAAAAACTTGGGAGAACCTCATACCGTCTTCAACTACCAACATGGATGAAGATTCATCTTTTCATCCATATAAGTAACTTGAAACCATGCCACCAAGACAATGGCGATCATCAACATAACGAAGTGACACGACCTCATGTTACAATGAAAGACACGAGCAAGAAAGTGGTAGAAGAAATCTTGGCCGATGAAACATGTCACACCGACAACCCAAGACGGAACGTACAAGAATTCTTAGTTAAGTGGAAAGAACTCCCAGAGTAGAAATCAACGTAGAAGACCTAAAGTCGGCTGCACCTCAGATTGCAGAATTTGAAGAAATGGGACGGACGTTAACCAATTAAATGAGGGAGGATGTCACAGTTATATTTGTCCAAAGCGTATCCAAGTAGATAACAAAACAAAGAAATCCATCATGCTTGTCCAAGTGGATGGTGTTGTTGCTGCAAACAGGTGGCTCTTTCGAGTTCGGCCCAGTCCCTCAAAATTAATAATATCTTAGGTTTTAATTCTTTAATTTAATATGAAAATACCTTTTTTACTAATTTTTTTAAAGGAAAATTAATTACGGAATTATGAGATATAACTGGATGAATTTTTTTTTTAAAAAAAGGTAAATTTTGAATTTTCTTGTCTTAAAAGCCCACAAAATGGTGAAAAAAAAAAAACAAAAGTAGAAATAAAATAATTATGAAAGAAAGTGTAAAATATTATTTACGCGTGTGAATTGTTGACGACAGTAAACACGCACGTGGGTTTCCGTACCTATTTGACTCTTCCAAGTTTGCACATACAAAATGACAATAATGTGGGCCCACGACCATTTCTATTTCATTGACGAATTTACCCTCATCTCTTTTTCAACCTTCCACAATTCAATGACCAATTTCATTTGAAATTGAATTTTCCTCAAATTTGAATTTATTGTTATTTTTAAGACATACATATTTTTTATTTTATTTTTATTTAATTTCCTATTTATTATTTTATTTTTATTTTTTTAATCACTTATAATAATTTTTTTTTCGGAAATTGAATTATAAATTTTAATTAAAGTCTAAAAATAAATAAATAAATATTTTATGAACTAATTTTTTTCTTTAGTTAAAATAAAATTGTGGATGTGATATTCCTACATTGGTTGGGGAGAAGAACAAAACACCTTTGGTAACTTTTGTAAGGGTGTGAAAACCTTTCCTAAGAGACGCATTTTAAAGTCTTGAGAGAAAATTCGAAAGAGAAAGCTCAAAGAAAACAATATATGTTAGCAGTGGATTGGGTCGTTTTAAATGGTATCAGAGCCACACACCGGACGATGTGCCAGCCTTCTCGCTGTTCCCCAAAAGGGGTAGACACGAGGCGGTGTGTCAATAAAGACGTTGGGCTCCGAAGGAGGTGGATAATGGTGGATCTAGGTTGTTATCGTGAATAAATGAGTGTGAGTTAAATGTACTCTCTAATAAATAACTCTTAAATTACTTAATAACTCTTAAATTACTTAAATTAAAAGCACTATGTTATAGGACTTTGAATTAATATAAACCTTACTCGACTTAGCTTTCTTATCATTAAATATTTTGACTTGGACAATATCGTAAATTAATATCCAACACGTGGCAACATCCAAAAGGCTTATGCTACGTCATTACGGAACTTCTATTTTCAAATTTATTGTGCTGCAGATTTCTAGGTTCTTCAGAAACGCAAATCCAAATCATTCTCCTTGTTCTTCTTTCACTTTTATTCAACAAATCCGTTTTCTCCGGTGAATTTCTCCGCATTCCGATTGCAACTCGCCGGGAAAATCACGCCTCTCCAGTACGGTGGTGAATTCTCTCTGATTCCATTGATCTCCGCTGCTCATCGCCATGACTCCTGAATAGTAAGCTCGAATTCGTTTCCTCTGGTGATGTTGATCTTTTGAAAATTCTTCGATTTCGATTTAGTTTTCGGAACTTGTGCGTTTTTTTTTTAAAATCATTAGCCTAGATCTGGTACGTGGTAGAGAGGTTGTGAGTTTTCTGCGTCTTACCTAGTTTCCCCTTCTTAATTTTATTGTCTATAGTCTGGTAAGGCTGAGTATCGATGATTCGTCGTGCTCTTGGTTGATTTATTGGTGTAGATCCTTTCTATTACGAATCAGATCCATACGATTCAATCAACTTCGGTTACGGGTGCTAGATAGCGGATGTTTCTGTGACAACGTTTGAAAATAAACAACGCGTTCTCGATCCTTACATTAAGGCTATACCTCATCGTCGAATGAATTTAATTTTTTTTTTTTTTAATATCTTCGAAGGTAATTCCATAATTTATGGAATTTCTTACTTAAGTCTCTTGTTTTGTAAATTTTACTGAAATCGATTCAAGTCAAAGTTTCTTTGTGTTTTATATCTCTGTTACTTCCTATAACCAGCGGTCACTTTGTTTTTAGTACTGAATTAAGTTTTTGGATTTACGCTCTTTGGCATCATTTGGTCCACAACGATGGGAAACCAGTGAATAATTTGTTTGAAAATAGAAGAAACTGTAACGTGTTGATCTGCTTGGCTGTGTTTCCATAGACAAGGATAGATTGTAGAAGATGATTGCTTGTAGCATACACGAAGTGATTCAGTTCATCACCGTCATCTTTCTTGTTTCAACTTTTCAACCAATATATTCGCTTGAGATGTATCTCTTATGATTTATAATAATGCCATATAATATCTGAATAACATTATTTACAATTGCTTTCGATTTTTTTCTTAAGCTCTGAGCAATTCTTGTTGGCTTCTTGCAGTGATTATTTGTTTAAGCTCTTGCTTATTGGTGACTCTGGTGTTGGAAAATCTTGTCTTCTTCTGAGGTTTGCAGTAAGTGCCCAGCGATTCTACGAACATTTAGTTTCAATACCTCATATTGATTCACCGTTCCAAGTCCAACCTCAATAACATGTTGGGTGGTTTTTATGTCAACTCTTTATTGTTGCAGACTTATAGTTGAACTAAGAATTACCATCTTATGTTTGCTGTAGTGTTCTGTATTCAGTTTTCTGTGTGTGGATGATGTTACAAAACGGCATTTATATGTTATTAGGCGCTGCTGTTTATTGGTATCTAATGTGCTGTACTTGTATTAATGGATATATTGTAGGGTTGAAATGTATTTTTAACTTTTTGATATTTTCTTGCCAAACAGGATGATTCATATTTGGATAGCTACATTAGCACCATCGGGGTTGACTTCGTAAGTAGTGATTTTCCACTCCTGGTATTTACCATTGGGTTCTTTGAAGAAATTCATTGTTCTAATACCTGTTGTGTTTCCATTGTTTTAGAAAATCCGCACAGTGGAACTCGATGGGAAGACTATTAAGCTCCAAATAGTAAGTTTAATCTCTCCTAGTTGTCTTCTTACGTAGGTACCATTTTCTTTTACTATAATTTGGCGTTGACTAGCAAATAAACATTTCAGTAAAGGGTTAGAGGTTTTAATCACATGCCTTCCAGTAAAGGTGGCTGATATGCAGCGTTGACTTTATATCTAACAAAATAAAATTTCCTTTGAAGTAATTATGAAGGTCGCATGTGTAGTTTTCTTTTATTTTCATATCCCTTCTCATGTGCTTTTAGTTGCACGTTAACACCATTTTACTCTTTCATAATTTATATGGAAGTAACCAATTAGTTACTTTTGAGATACGGTGGTCTGGGACTCGGAAAGCTTGTGTGGATGCAACCTGTTGGTTTCCGTTCTTTTTTAATTAAATTAAACTTATTTGAACTGTTTGGTCCTACCCATTGTTTGGACTGATTTTAGTTGGAATTTTTTACAACCTTTTTCTTCTAATAATAAATAAATTAGTCTCGAGTTGTTCCCGAGATATGGACTTGTATAACAACTCAAATACTGGAACAGATTAATAGAGTGACAGTTATAACTTTTAAATGCAAAATTACCATTTTCTTGAACGCCACTG